GTGCCGAAAGTGTGAGCAGGGGGCAACGCAGCCGGCTTGCTGCATGTTTGTACCTCGAGCTCCAATGACCGCGCAGGCGGTAATGGTGCACCAAGGGCGCTGGACATGCAGACCAACCTTGTTGCGGCTTTGCTCGCAGGCTTCGGGATTACCGTGCAGAGCCATGCGCAGACAGCTTGGGACAGCCTCGTCAAAACCACGCATTTTCCAGTCTTCAGCCACGAAATCCGTGCGGTCTTTCGGTGTTGTAAGGTGCTTTCTGCGGCAACATCCCCAACATTACCTGCATCACCCGCATCACGGGAAGTCGCAGACTCGCAAGCCCCAAGACCCAAAAACGCACCCGCAGGAAGCAAACGATGCAGGTGATGCTCTTCATTTCCTCTTCAGTTTGGCGGCAGCCCCCAGAGCTTGTTCTAGAGCCTTGCTCCGAAGGACCAGACAGCCGTTTGGCGGCCGACCTTACGTTTCGAGCTATTGGCTGGCGTTTGCTGGGATTCCTTGATTGGCCTCTCTCAGGTGGGAGGGCTTTGGATGCTTCAGCACCACCACGATGATGAACAAGCGCCGTAGCAAAAGAGATGATGATTATGTTGATGATGATGGTGGTCACCATCATCATGGCGGTGATTGAGCATCCTTTTATTAAAATCATGATGGTGGTAGCTGTCATCGTAGCAAAGGAGATGATTGACTATGATGACAATCACCATCGTGATGATGAGAACTATCATTGCAGCACCCTTTGCTTCACCACCATGATGACAACTGTCACCGTAGCAAAAGGGATGACGATGATGATGATCACCAACATGATGATGACCACTTTCATCAGACCACAGCATCCTTTGCGTCCGAGGAGATGGTCACCAATATGATGACGTTCACCATCACAAGGAAGATGGTGATTATGATGATGGTGTTTGCATCAGTATCATGATGAAGATAAGTATCATCGCACCAAAAGGGATGACAGTGATGATGATCGCCATCATGATGATGATAACTGTCGTCATAGCACCCTTTGCGTCACCATCATGACGATGGTACGCCGTAGCAAAACAGATGATGATTATGATTTGACGAATGGCCTTCTGTAAACACCCCCTCGAGATGCGGGACAGAGTGCGGGGCAAAGTGCCGGACAAAGTGCGGGACAAACTGCTGGACCTGTCCGGCAAGTTGTGTGGGGGGTTGTCCCCCTCACGAGAAAAACTTCCCTCCGAGTGAGTCCCGAGTGGTTTCCGAGTGGTTTTGAGCGGGTTCCGTGTTTGGCAAGTTGTTTCCGAGCGGTTCTCGAGCGGTTTCCAAGTGGTTTCCGATCCAAACCTGTCCGAAGACTGTCTGGAGAGTTGTCCGGGGGCTTGTCGGGGGATTTGTCCCGCCAAGGCTGTCCGGAGGCTTGTCCGCCGGGGGGTTGTTCGATTGGACCCAAAATATGAAAACATGCGTTTATGCAGAACTGCCACTGTCAAATCATGATGATGAAGATGATGACCACCATGATGAGGATAACTATCGTCATAGGAGTCATCCCGGCAAGACCCCGGATAGTTTTAGCTGTTACTTGACGACAGGTGGCCCGGGAGCATAGCAAGACGCTAAATAAATCCTGACACCTCTCCCCGCTGACGAGAAGCAAATCGCAATGTGCTTGCTCAAGCGTAGCCTCTGCGAGTTCTGATGAGCAAGCTATAGCATCATGCGTCACAATCTCTCATGTCAACTTCTCGCACGCGCTGATGTTGCGGACGCTGCAGCGCATGATGCTGCGCACTTATCCTGCCAAACCTTTCACGTCCTTTCTTAAACTCTCTTGCCCATATCTGGCTGCGCGAGAAGGCTGGCGGCTTTTGTTGCGGAAGTGTACTTTGCACACTACTGTTGCGCTACAAGTGGTGATTTTCGTGCTCGTAATGCAGATGCGGACGTGTAATTGGCGTGCTGGTATTCCATTTCAAGTTGCAGCTTTCTCGGGCTGGAGATGCGAGAGCGCACTTCCGAACAACACTTGTGCGCTTAAAAGTTGTGATTTCCGAGCTGGAGCTGCGGAAGCGCGCTTCGCGCACCACCTTTGGACGTTGCCACTCACGATTTTGCAGCCGGAGCTGCGGGATGCGCTTTGCGCACAGCTGGAGCGCGATTCGCGTAAGACTTTTGTACGTAAACCTGGAGGTGCGGGAGTGCACTTCCTGTGCTACTTTTGTACTTAACAACTGCGATTTTGCAGCCGGAGCTGTGAAGTGCTCTTCGCGTACTCCTTTTGTACTTCAAACGTGCGAGCTTTCAGCCGCAAACTACTCTTGTACGTTTTGCGAATTTTGAGCCTCCTGCAGGAGTCCGCTTCGCGTAGACTGCTTGTGTATTATCTATTTTCAAAAGACATGTGTTGGTTAATAGGTCGAAAGTGGTACGACGGGCTGCGACGGCCTAAAATGACATGGGCGGCCTAAGTGGCGACGGACGACGCCGCTGGCGGCAGCAAGACGGCGGATCGACGACAAGCCGACAACGGAGCGGCGACGGGGCGGCGACGGAGCGGCGACCACGATGTGTCTTGAGCCCGGTGAGCCCTCTGCGAGATCGCGCGTGTCGAACTTAAGTGCCAAGTGCGCTGCAGCAGCTGCGTCTGCGCAATCGCAACGTTTACGTACAAGGCTACTCCGCAAAGCGCACTCGCAGCTCAGCTCGGATTGCGCAACTTCTAGGTACAAAAGAAGTGCGCAAAGAGCATTTCCGGAGCTCCAGCTGCACAATCGCGCTTTCTAATTACACATTGTCTATTTTCAAAAGACATGCGCGGGAGATTTCTAGTACTTTGACGGGATACGTGACGGACGGACGGTGTCTTTTTTTTTGTGGGCGACGACGGGGCGACGACGGACTTGGGCGGGCGGCCTACATAGCAAGCGACCCGCTAGGTCACTTGCACGTTGCCTAACTTGAGTTTAGTAAGTCCGCTAAGTCTGACTTTGCGGACTTACAACCTGGCTAAGCCCACTTAGCGGGTTAGAGGACTTAGCTAAGTAGACGCTGAGCAGTTCTAAGTAGTTAGCTAAGTCCTCTAACCCGCCAAATGAACTTAGCCATGTTGTAATCGGACTTACTAACGCAAGTTAGGCAACTTGCATGTGGCTTAGCAAATCGCCTAAGTTAACCAATTACATAGCAAGTAGGCCGCCCTTTGCAAACAAATCGGTCCTCCTTGGATCATTGTACCGAAATTCACGGCTGACCAAACGACTTCTTCTGTGCCATTGCTGAGTGAGATGATCTCGTCGCCAGTCATACACAAATCGTCAAAACTACAGAATCTCCAATCTCATCCTGGCTTTTCTTCTCATAGACTCCCGTGCTTTCAAGCCTGTCCATCTCAGTCTGGTCTGCCAAACGATTTGCTTCCTCCAGCTCCTCTGTGAAAGATCAGGTTCACCATCCAAGGAGCGATGGCGGAGCGACCGCGGGGCGAGGACGGGGTGGCAGTGCGGCGCGCCGAAAACAGAACGCCTAGTTTGGCCAAAATAGGCCTTAGTTTCAGCGCGCCGCAGCCATCTTGTCGTCGCACCGTCGGTCCGTCGTCGGTCCGATGTCAGTCCGTCGCGAGAACCCCACGAGCGAAATATGGCCGCGAAAATTCGTGAAAATGCTACCAAGTGCGTGAAAATCGTGAAAAAATCATTGGCCACAATTGTCCCGTCAAGCCGCTTCTGTCCGTGAAGGAGGTCGCGAGCGGCATGTCCGCATTGATTGTGATCGGCCTCCAGGATTCGCACGGTGCCGCAGCGAGAGCGCTTCGACGTGCGAGATGTTCGCAGAGGGTTTGCCGAGCTCAAGACACATTCGCACGGCGCCATCGCAAGAGCGCTTCGGCACGCACGACCCCCGCTGGGTTCGCCGAGCTCAAGATACATTCGGCGCTTCGACCAACTGCGGGCTCGCCGAGCTCAAGACACAATCGCATGGCGCCGAAGCAGAAAATTCGCCGAGCGAGACACATTCCCGCGCAACCCCGGCCACGGTGTATCCTCGGGTCAATCCCTTCGGATCGCGTGCTCAGGTGAAACTGTCTCTTCTGTTCCCCTCTTCTAGCAAATCAAAGTCAACCTCAGAACAACACTCCCTTCGCGCGGCGCCTGCAGTACGACGGCGCGCTCTCGATTTCTGCGTCCTCCTCCACCGCATGCGTTGCCCAGCGGACCCTGTTGCAAAAAGTGCTGCGCTTGCCACGCAACCCATGGCATCAACAAGACATACTTCGCCCGCCACGAAAACGCGTCCTGGTCTCGTCTGGATCTCTCGGCGCAGGCTTGCGCCAAAGGGCACGGAAGCGTGGGCTTTAAGTGAAGGAGATCCTGGTTTTGGCCCAGTAGTACGTGGAGAAGGATCCACTGTATGCGTGCTTGAACACAATCGCAAGTTTAGGTTCCGAAGGTCGCCAAGTGATCGTGAGCGTTCCATCCAACTTGCGTGTTGAAAACCCTCGCAAACATTTGCGACGAAGTCCTTCCCCTGGTTTACAAACGCATAGGCAACGCACATTTTGAGGTGACTCAAGCATCATGGGCTACGAATGTGTTTGTGACACATATTGCGACGTTACAGTGGCCGAAAAAGGTGAGGTGACTTGATGTGCAGCGTTATCAAACATAGCCCGCGTCGTAGCGCGAACCTCCGTGCGCCTGAGGCTTCCATTTTTTATTTTTTTTAAAAAACGTTTCGCGCGAGGGTTCCCGAGAAAAAACGCAGTGCTCACCTTCACTGTGTTGTTCCTTCTAGCAAAAGCCAAAAAAAGAGCACCGCATTTCGAGCGAGACTGTCGCAGTTTTTTAGGCACAGGGCCAATAGTTTGAGTGCGAACCCTCGATGTAACTCGTTCTTAACTCTTACCACAAGAACTCTGTAGCGACAACACTATTTGGAGAAAAAACGATATTATCTTGGGCGAGGGGTCGGCGGATACTGATTGTCTTCTCAGGGCTGACAAGATGACATGCCAGCAGGACGCATGGTGTCACCGTCCACACCGCAGAGGGCGCTGCGTACGGGACCCAAGCCAGAAACCGGCCTGCAGAACGGTGTCAAGCGGCAAAGATGTAAGGATCCGCAAACTGCCAAAGACTTGGCTGGAGATTGCCAAGGTACTGACACCCTGTCAGTGGCGGGCAGCTACTGCCCCTCCATGGCCCCTTCCATTGCCCCTTCGCCGTATGGGCCTTGGAAGTCAAATCGAAGACCAAGGGACGTGCTGCATTGACATGAAAGGACCAAGAAAAAGGATCCGACACAGCCGTACAGCTGGGCACTTCCATCCGTTTTTCCATCCATCTTCCATTCTTCCATCCCATTCCACACATTCCATCCATGTTCCAGCAATGTTCCATCTCCAAACCCACAAACAAGGGCATTACAAAGCTAGTGTAGGAGAGTCCTCTACAGTGATGGCCTTCCGAGTTAATCTGCAGGAGTATCCGCGATTTGGAAAACAGTTGCAGAACAATTCCACCTGTAGGTGGATCACCTTGTTCTTCCTCCTGCTGGAGAACCATTCCCGGTGTTCCAAAGCATTACCATAAGACACCGCTCGCAGCGGATGAGTGTTGTTCCGGCAAACCGCGCCAAGCCTCGCTACAAAAGTATAAAGTAGTACTGGCCCAGCCACAAATGCACAAATGCGTCGTTGCGCACCAGGCACCCGATGGCTGCAATGTTGCGGCAAGACTCTTTGATGCCAGGCTGGATGTCTGAAGGTCACAGAGGCCAAACTTTCAGACCTGGAATTCTACAGCAGATGTCGCACTTGGCTGTTGCTTGTTTCCCGTCGAGTTGTATGTTTCATGCGGAGCTAGCATACGGAAATGATTCATTGGCGAGCGTTGCTTCCAGTGCGCGAAAGGTGCGTGTCGCAGTGGGACCAAACTGCTTGGCACTTGGTTGTTTCCGAAGTTGTGGTGTTCAATGGGCAACAAGAGCCAATGGTTCGATGAAGCCAAGTCTCGGGCGTCAAGTGTGCTTGGAGTTTACAAGCGCATAGGTGGATCGCTGAACTTCTCGACCTTTCATAGCTACGGAGAAGCTTGGTCCACATTGGCTGCTTTGCGGTGAAGTTTCGATGGCCTTGGTTTTATCCTGACTTCAGGCTTGCCTTGCTTGCTTGAGCAACTGGGCAAGCTGCCACTGCAATACGAGGACACAGACAAAGACCGCTTGAGCGTCCGCAGCTCGGAAAGCGTGCTTGGCAAGGCTCATGCGTCAGCGGTCAATGTTCTGAAAATAGCGCTAGATTTGGAATCTTGGAACTTGCCAACATTGCATAAGTGTTTGAAAGCCCTCCAGTGATCTGGATTCTAAACGGTGCACGGACAAGAGCCCACAGTGGCGAGACCCTGCTCAAACGCGGTATTGGTGTTCGATGCGCGTGTGTAGTCACGGGTGCAGCACGGCATTCATTTTTGGGAGCATCGGCGTAGGGATGGCACTTTCGCTTATCATTTCCCAGTTTTGGGGGCTCATTGCAAGCGCCAAGATCTCAGGTACGCATCCTGAATGGCGTGTCCGGAGAAGAGGAAATCCGATTCAGCGCGCCGCTCCAGGCCGTTTGCGCCAAAGGGGATGCCGTGAGTATGTTGAGAACAACAACCCTGACAGCTGCCAGTAGTCGCTTTGCAAGTATGTTGATCCTCCATGTAAGTGCCTGCTGGCGCAAAGTACTCACTCGCTTCCATGAAGTGAGATGCACACTGCTTCTGGACATTGGGGCCTGATTTGTTGTTTTTGCCAACACCGTTGTGTCCGTGAAGGGGTTTTGGTTCCCGTACGCAAGTGCAGGCGCGGACAGCTATGGTTCTTGCTTTGCCTTTCAGCCGCTTCACATATTTATATACCCTGAATAATCACGACCCCTTGACCCCCAAAGAGGTACCCCAGAAGGGTGTGCATGCGTGTGATGTTAGAGGCCCCGTTGATTGCACATTCCAAAGACAAGCCGAATGCCAATGCGCATGTGGCTCAAGTATCAATGCCCATCATCAAAACAGGGTTTGCGCTCGCCTACCGGACTGGGGTCAAGAAAGGTCCCGGTTTCTGGTTCGCTGTGTTTCTTTCCCTGTTGAGTGGTTATCAGCCGTAACTGCTTTTTGGGATTAGGCCCCCTCAGTCTGGTAGTCAGCGCACTTCGTGCATGGACCCGGCTCCGGCCTTCTCGGGACAGAGGTGGGTTTACCGTCGAAGGCTTTACTACGAGGCCTTCGACGCGCTCACCCGGTGGGCCTGGCAGCAGTTTAAGGTAGGGGTGGCAAAAGTCCCCTGGGAGGAAGCTTCGGACTTGCGCTGGAGCTCCCTCCTGGCGTGGCACGCCGATTTCACCGAGCAGAGCTACCGGCATCTGCGGGACCCCGCCGTCATCGCCCGAGGCCGACATCAACCCATCCCACTCTTGCAAGGGCGCAGGTTGCAGCTCAAGGCGCGGCAGGGCAGGCTCGCGCACCAGCTCAGCAACAGCAACCGAGCGCCCCATCAAGTCCATCCTCAACCACAACTGTGTCCACCATCCAGGCTGCAGCTCCAAGCGCAGCGGTGACACAGACAGCAACAGGGCCGGCAGATCAGGCTGCAGCTCCAAGCGCAGCGGCTCCGACCAGAGCCTGAACTGAGAGCCCGTCCCGTCGGGCCTCCTCCTACCCACCAGCATCAAGGTCGGGCGAGAGGAGGTACGAAGCTGTAGGGAGATCCTCGTTGCGGAGGAGGACGCCAGCGGCAAGGCATCAGCTTACCTCTGTACCGAAGGCGTTGTCAAGGCGCCCAAGATCCAGGACACCGCTCAGCCAGCCCGTGCTTCCCTGAGCAGCCGGCCGCTGATCCTTGCGCCGGCCAACTGCAACCAGGGTTGACAGCACAGGGGTCTGGATCCTGCAGCATCGGTAGCACCGCATCCACCGCCCTCGGGCGACCCATACAACCTGCCGGATTCCTACTGCGCCGTCCAACAAAGTCAGGAAAAAAGCCACACACTACGACTTGAGCGCATCACCACCTCCAGAAAGGACAGCGCACGCTGTGTACTCAGGTCTTGCGGCCTTCAGCCCGGACAGGGTGTACGAAGCTGAGCAGGTAAGCGTCAAACGACCTGCACCTGCCGCACACCGACGCATCCGCGGCACCCGCAACAAAGTCTGCGCGGATAGTCTTTGCCAAGCGGGAGAGCCAAGGCGCCCCCGCAAAGCGTACTCGACCAGGCAGCTGCGGATCGCGCTGCGTCGAAGGCCATTCCCCCTCCGCCGTTGAGGGCACCGCCTGCACCCCCAGCAGCAGTGCCTGGGGCTGCAGCTCAACGTGCAGCGGCGGTCCCAAGAGCGATGAGCGGGGAAACAGCCTGAGACGCCGCCTAAGTCCAACTACAAGCGGGCCCCACCCTCGCCACCACCACAGGCGAGGTACTAAGCTGCCCCGGTGCCACAAAGGCTCCGCCTCCGGCAACGGGGCGCAGCTCGGTGCGCCTCAGCAAGAGGCAAGGCAACCCATCGTGGTTTGCCTGGACTGGCACAACACCCTCGACATCTCTGTCAAGCCACTACCCCATCGAGTTCCGCATCGTCGGCTACTGCCAGCCCCGAGACACTCGGGAGAACACACTCCGTTTTGCCGGCAATTTTTCCAACGTGTGCAACAACGCCATTGACAGCCTAGTCACTCGCCCGTTTGGAGACGTTGTCCTGACTTGGAAACGAGTTGGGCAATCCGGAAGGGCTGCGGCTTTAGCGCAGCTGGGAGCGTGTGTGATCGTGGACGACATCAAAGAGTGTCGCACCGCACACGCCCTGGGCATCGGTGTCGGGCGACGAGACGCCAATCGGGCGCTCTCGACGCGCTGCGCGAGCTCCACGAATACCTCAGCCAGCATCGACGCCTGCTCCATCCTGCCAGAGTGCCTCGAGGAAGTTGGCCGCCGCCCCCATTCCGCAAGAAACGGCCACTGACTTTTCCGTTGATTTCGCAGTGCCGGAGGCTGCAGCTCAAGCGCAGCAGGTGCACCGGTTTCCATTCCAAACGGCCGCAGCTTGAAGCGCGGTGTGTCAGCATACGTGAGCCTGAGGTGCATCCGACATGGCGCCAGGCATTTCCCCACCTTCGGATGATGGAAGACCCTGAACTCGGTGATGTTTCGGTACCCGCAATGTCCGTAGTTGCCGTAGGTTCCAGGGCATCCTCATCAAGAGATGTTCGTAGCCGCGACCGCAACGCGACTCCTCCCCGTAGGACTCCCATTGTAGAGGAACCTGGTTCAGACTCTACAGCAACCCCCCTGTGTATGGCCCACAGGTGCCTGCTCCCGACCCATCTAGGGACATGAATGCTGCCGCTTTTGTGGCCGGATCGGCATTGCAACGTGCGCATCAAGCTTCGCTCATTGCTGACCAGGCTGCCAACGTTGCCCTTCACGAGCATCGAGCTGCGGACGAGGCCCGACAAAGGCTAGGGGAGGTTGCAGCTGTCGCGCAACAAAGGGAGCAGACCTTTAGACAACAGGCAACGGAACTGACATACCAAGCCCAGCAAGCAGTCGAACGAGCCCGTGCTCAGCTTGCATTAGCTGAACAAGCTGCGCAGCATTCTCAACAGGAAGCCCAAGGCCATGTTCAACAGGTGAGGCAGGAAGCTGAAGGCCATGCCCATCTGCTAAGACAGGAAGCCGTAGGCCATGTTGAACGTGCTAGGCATGAAGCGCAATAAGCAAGGTCGGCTGCAGAAGCCGAAGTGTCCAGGTTGAGGCAAGAGGCTATTCAAGAAATTACCTCACGGGAACAGAAGATCCTCCAGCAAAGTAAAGTGATAGATACATTAGGTAGTGAAAACCTTTTGTTGTCGCAACGCCTTGCTGACCTAGAAAGGCCGCACCCATGGCACAAAATGTTCCGGTACCTCCGGATGAAAGTCATGAAAGTCAAAATCCTACGGATCCCGGGTTATCGGGGCAAAATGTCGTTGGACGTGACATCCAGGTTGGATCACAGGCTCCCCAAGTTCAAGGGCCTAGTGATGCCACACGTGAGCAGCTCCCCGAAGGATGCAGCTCTAGGCGCATCAGGAAGTTCAAGTAGTGACCTTAAGGTAGCCGACATCAAGTCAGATGCCAAGCGTGTTCAAATCCAGGATGGTGATCCACGTGCCACCGGATGTCGCTCGGACTCAGGGTGTAAGGGGACCTGTAGACGCACAGGCACAAATGTCCTCTTTTACTGAGCTGGTCCATCAACTCTCAAATGTTAGTTGTGGCCCAGGTAGGGGTATCAGGGGCTTCGCCCCCGATCGCATCGGCTCAGGCACCCCCACCTTCCGTAGCTGCACAGCACACAACTGCTGTTCCCACGCTTAGGCTAACAAGTGCAAGTACAAGTCAAGTAATTCCCATCCTCCCCACTCGCACCTTCGGAGGCAAGCTCCGACACATCCTCAGAATCCGGTGACGAGGGTCATACCCCTTCATGCCGAGTCTGTGGTGGCCCGCATGATGATACCGCCTGCCCCTCCCTTTCCATGAATGGGGGGCAGGGACAAGGTACTCAAGCAGCAGATGCAAGTGGTGGGGATGCTGCTACAAGCGCATCAGATCCGGCCTCATATGAGGAAACCGTGGTTCGCATCAAGGACCTTAAGGATTTAGCGCTTCCGCTTCCGCCAGAGAACGCCGGTCAGGCGTGTGGATAGGTCCTCATGGCCGTAAGACGTTTGCAAAAGACGACCGATGACGAGCTCTATTTGTGGGCTCAGGATTGCCTGACCTCATCCGAGGAACAACTCAGGGCAGGTAAACGTTTCCCACGCACAACCCGTGAGATAGCCGCCAAGCTGTTGAAGACCTGTCGCAAAGGCAAGTTTGGGTTGTTGTTCCAAACATGGTGGAGCACGAACGGAACACCGCAGGTACAATGCCCAATGGGCGCGCGATGTTGCGATCGATCTTCAAGCACTTTCAACTGGAGCGCGACCGGATCGGCGTCCTTGGAGAACGCAATCTTCTAGGGTTGAAACTTGCCGGCCAGTCAGTAGCAGACATCGAGGCTTTCCGAGAGAAGTTCAATTATATTCTCCGTGCGATACCTCTTCATGAGCTCCCCAAGGAACGGACCCTTTTCAATCATCTCATTGACGAGTTTGAGAAGTGTCCAATAATGAAGCATCGCGTTGAGAAGGCCCGTGAGTCCGCCCATGATAGTCACCGCCGCACCTGTGCATGGCTTTGGGCGAATGCAGACCTGGCCATTGATCTTGCCCAGCAAAAGCGCAAAGCGTGATGAGTTTGATCAATAAGCTCAACCCGGCTGCTCGTGGCGCGGGCAAGGAAGCAGCTACCAGCGCTTTGCCAGCAGAGACCAAGAAGGAGAAGAAGGAGAAGAACAAGAAAGGTGAGAAGAAAGGGGATTAAGGGTAGGATAAAGGCGGCGCCCCAGCTGCTCCTGCGCCTAAAGGTAAAAGTCCTTTTAACCCTAAGCCTCCTCCTCCTCCGAAGTCCCAAAGTGCAAACAAGGGAGACACTACCCCTTCTAATCTCACGCCGAGGTCGAAGGCTGTGTCCAAGATAGCAAAGATGTCAGCCGTTGAAAAGGCAAAAGTTCCGTGTGTGTTCTATGCCTATGACGCGTGTAGGGCCAAGTCCTGCGCATTCCTCCACTCATCGGCTGAGAAGTACACTGGGCCGCCTCCACGGGCCCTCAACAAGGCGAAGTCTCCGGCCGCTGTTGCCGCCGTAGTCCCAGCAGTCCCAAGTGTCCCCGCCAGGAACAATAGCATCAGCTGGCTATGGGACACCGCTGCAGGTCGCCACCTCATCGGTAAGCAGGCTTTGAACAGCACCATGATGCATTGCGTACGCAAGACCAACACACCGGTAGGCTTTGCCACAGGCGGAGGAGCACAACAAGGAGATAAATCTCTTGCGTTCGAGGACTCCCGCGTGATTCCACCTGATGAGCAGGTTTACGTTTTGAACTTTGAACGAATGTCCACCCGCTCAATCAATTGGCAAAACCGTTTTTGATCGAGGTTACCTCTTCATCTGGGACCCCAGAGAGAACGTTCCTTATCTTGTGCCTCCTTCTGAGATTGGTAAGTGCAAGCTTCGGGTTCCTCGCCGTTCTAGGACCAACGCCTCCAGGGTTGTTGAGCACGTGCCACAGTACGATGAGGTAGTCAAACCACAGATCCTTGATCAAGCCGCGAATCTTCGGCCAATCAATGTCGTTGGTTCTCCCGTGAAAGTTGAGGATGATGCGGTGTCCTTGTCCGATGGTGAGTGCTTCATCATCGATCCATGCCAGGATTTTCCATCACCTCCCCAAGTGCCAGAAGAAGAAAAGGAGCAGCTCAATGCGCTCACTGATGATATGGTCCAGGAGATTAAGGTTGCTAGCTTTATGCGCAACGAAAAGCCAGCCATGCCAGATCCGGAGGAAAGGCCTCCGGCCGAGCCCCCGGATCCGCCGACAGCTCCACCACCTGCTGGAGCACCTCCTGCACCCGCACCAGCGGTGCCCGAACATCCTGATGACGGGCGCAGGCTTGTCGATTTTGCAGAAGGTGGTGAGCTTCGTGATGAACTCCGGCTTCGGGCCGAAGCCAGTTCACCGGAACACCAACGGACTCACTTCCCCAAGAATCCCTTCTGCAAGATTGGCAACATCGCTAAGAACACCTCAACGCGTGTCGCCGGAAACCAGGGGGACGGAGTGCCGATCTTCTCGACGCACCCGCCGCTCCCTACCAGCAGCTCGCTACTGATAGCGTGATCTTGGCGAAAGGCGATGAACACGTTGGCGTCGGCATAGGCGGAATAGAATCCCACCATGTAATCAGGGATGTGTTTTCCGGCGCAAGGGTCGCATACCCGGTCTCTAAGAGAGACATTCCGTCGCACGCAAGGAATCCCAGGCTCATTGGCCTCAAAGCCAACGAACTCGCTCCACACTGTCTCATAAAAATGGATGAAGCTGGAGAGGAGCGGCCGAGGAAGTAGGGATGATTCCCGAAACCTCGTTGCCGAATTGCTGGCCGCACAACTCCGAGCTCGGGCGAGATGTCCGAGAGGAGAAAGAGTGTTGCAGGAGCACACACCATCAATCAGGTTTGCCCTACTCCCTGCACACGCATTCCTACACCTTTGCATGCCTCTCGATGTCTTTCGACCGACCGTCCACGTTCGATCCGACAAAGACGCAATGGGAAGCACTCACCAAGGAGAAGTTAGACGGCGTCCGCTGTTGCTTCGGACAACTCGTTTGGTGTCGCCTAAAGTCAGCTGGAAAGAGAACCTTAGAACCTAACATGGCTCCAGGCTTGTTTATGGGTTGGCGTATCGATCCAGGGATGCGATGTCGAAGGGTGCTAAAAGTTATGGACTACCAAAGTTTCAGGGCCAATGGAAATGTTACTGTCCATGATGTGCCCGAACCTGAGTTGTACCGTCGAGGAAGGCGATCCTGTTTTCCCGATCGCGGCCAAGTAAGGGTGCAGATGAGGCAGCTACTATACGCGCTGCAAAGGCGTCTTCCCTGGAACCCCCAGAGGCCCCAGAGATCGAGGCACCTGAGGAGGGAGACCCCGATATCGTCCGCGCCTTGCTTGGAGAGGCTGCCTCTTCTCGGCCCAGTGTTCCGCGTGCCGAAGTCTGGGATCAAGGTGCACTTTGGTTAGCTCATGACGATCGCCAGCATCAAGTTCTATGAACTTGCAAAGCACCTCCAAAAGGTAAAGGGGCGCATCGTGTTCAGGGGAGACTGTGCAAAAGATGAAGCCGGTGCACCTGCTGTGTACCAGGAACTGGGGGCCAACCCCACCTCGGTACAAGGCTTAAACGCCTGCCTGGCGTATGGGTGTATCCCAGGACACACGGTCGCTACCGCTGACGCGGTAAAGGCCTACGTCCAGGCATTCCTTAGCTCGCAATTCCAGACGTGGATCGAACTCCTGCCGGAGCTGCGGCCAAAGGAGTGGGTTCCAAGTTTGTGAAACCCGTGGTCTTGTTGATCCGTGCCCTATATGGACACCCCGACGCAGGAGGTCTGTGGGAGGCACACCTTAAGAAACTGCTCGAGCTGGGAGGGGAAGAAATCCCAGATTTTCCTGTTAAATTTTCTGTAGAGGGGTAGGCCTTATGCTCTCGACTTACGTCGATGACTTGACCCTCTCAGGCCCCGCAGATGCACACGAAGCCTTGTGGGCAAAGCTTACAAAAATGATAAATGTAGAGCCTCCCGAGCCAATCTTTCGGGTGCTTGGGCGTAATCATGTCTTAATAGATGGCCCCGCAGAGCCTCAAAAGCATGATCTGAATGCATCTGTAAGCGCATTAAAGGGTGCCGTTGCCTTTGACATGAACGACGATGCCCGTCAGACTGTAGAACTGTTTTGTTCTATAACCGGCACTCAACCCGAGAAGCTCCGGAAGGTAACTACTCCATTAAGGCCTTATGGCTGGGACGACTAGCGCGTCCTGACATTATCAAGCCCATAGGTGACTTAGCCACCGCCGTGCAGAAGTGGTCTCGCAACCACGATAGGCAACTCGCCCGTCTTATCGCGTATATCCACTCGACGACGCGCTACCGGTTGGTAGGAGTCATAAAGGATAATCTGCAACATCTTCACCTCGCCCTGTATGCAGATGCCGACTATGCGGGAGAAATGGATGCGAAGTCCACATCCGGTGGCGTCTTGGTTCTCAAAGGACCGAACACCCATTTCCCGTTAGCGTGGTTCAGCAAACGACAGGCATCAGTGTCGAGGTCCACCACCGAAGCCGGGGTTGTTTCACTCACGTTCTCTTTGTATCAAGAGGGTCTCCCCTCCTTGACTCTGTGGGAACGTTTGCTTAGACGCCCGGTTGAACTGGTGCTACACGAAGATAACCAAGCCACTATCCTGGTTGCTAAGAAAGGTTACTCCAAAAAAATGCGGCACACACAGCGCTCTCATAAAGTGAACTTGTCCGCACTTGCAGAGCAACTTGAACCTGGCACAGGTGTAGTGATCAAGTACGTAGCAACCGATCTCCAGGCAGCCGACATCTTCACAAAAGCACTACAAGCCTTGAAGTGGGACCACGCTCTCAAGCTTTTGGGCATCAGAACAAATTTGCCCGAAAAGTTGAAGGATGTCCGGCCTGAGATGACCAAGCAGTGAGAAAAGTGCAGAAATCTTAGGTCAGCCCTCTTATTGGTCTGGTAAAGGACCTTGCATCACATGGGTCGCGACTGTAAAGTACAAGTCTCTTAGTGAGCACGGGGAGGGGGAAGTTGAATAATCACGACCCCTTGACCCCAAAGAGGTACCCCAGAAGGGTGTGCACGCATGCGATGTTAGAGGCCCCGTTGATTGCACATTCCAAAGACATGTCGAATGCCAATGCGCATTTGGCTCAAGTATCAATGCCCATCATCAAAGCAGGGTTTGCGCTCGCCTACCGGACTGGGGTTAATAAAGGTCCCGGTTTCTGGTTCGCTGTGTTTCTTTCCCTGGAGTTTCATAAGCAACTCAACAGTACACTAGCGCGCTGTGTCCCTGAGCAACGGGAGCTCCAGGTAGCTTGCATTGCCGACTGGTATACGGACCTACATTACGCCAAATGCTTGCCTTGTATATAGCCTTTTGTATTTCCTTTTTCCGCAGAGCCGTCGATCACGAGATGGTATCTCGGGCTTCCCTAGAGGCTCATGGGTAAAGAGAAGATTGCAAAGGGGCCGATTGTCATTAGAGCCGGCAGAGTTTTGGCGCTCGAGCTGGACAGCGCCCGTCTCGCGCGCAGGCTGACTCAGAACAGCAGTTCCTGGCCGCGCTCGACCGGCTATGCCTGCAACATGCTGGGCAGCCTCTTGCAGGCCAGTGAAAGTTTGGCCTGACACCTTTTGAACCTCACAAGTCTCGATGAATTAGTCTTTGATTCCTGCAATCGCTTAGTTGTCGCAGATGAAACCTGTTTTAGATGAGATGAAGGAGTTCCAATTGCTCAACGCATGAGAATTTGACGCATGCAGCAGGCAACCCCACTACGTTCGGCTCGATTGATCTTTTCCAGATGGAGTATTGGCAGAGAGGGACTTGTTCTTGCTCCGACTCGTGCTTTGGCAAGGCCTAAACTGGCTGAGCCGAGAGGGTGAGGCCGACCGCTTCCAGCGACGCACCTGCGATGTGAGGCTTGCACATGGGGTGTTGACCGCCTTGCAGATTTCGTGACCGCATTGCCTGTCCAAAGGAACCTTGTATGCAATCTCAGTTCAATGGCCTGCTTGCAGCCACAGACAAGTGGTCAAAGTTCATGCGCTGCAAAATGTGAACGGAGGTTCCATCCACCACCCTTGTTTGTGGCACTTTCAATCTCAAAGTTATGCGGAATGCGAGAGACAGACAGGATGATCGAGGAGCTCTTTGATCAATGGACACGTGCCAAGGACTAGTTGCGGCTTATGAGTTGTGCTTCGTGCCCCCGCGGCGTTTGCAGGACACGGCTAAAGGAGCTGTGGTGCTGCTTTGCCCCGACCCCTACATGAGCTGCGAAGAGAGGATGAGTAGCGGATGCATGCCAATAAGGTAAATTTCGGGGGGGTGGGGAGGGGAGGGAGGACATTGAAGGGGAGCGCTGATGGGGAGGGGAGGGATTTTTGCGATTGTGATGTGACTCACGTAGCTGACAACACAATGCAACCCATGTTCAAAAACTAACAACTGAATGCGGGTGTCAAATGTTTCACACCGACTGCGTGAGGGTCTGCGTTCAGCTATTCTCAGGTTGAGTTGCTCGCCATTTTCTTAGGCTTCGCGCAATCGTTTGACTAGCCTTTGCCCAACAGGACAGCGCATGAGGGGACTCTGGCCTGAAGCGTTTGGGCTGGACTGGGCTAGAGCTGGGCTTGAATGGGACTGGGAGTAGTAAAACGACTCCATCAGATGCAGACCGAACGTGGATGTATCATTTAGTAGTCTCAAACACGTGTTGAGGGCCTTGACGGCCTGGCCTTTAGAATGTATTGGTGCAATAATTGCAGGATGAGATCCGGCTTTGCACACTTCCAGCAACGAGGCCAATTACTTGTAAATCTACTCGGGGCGTTCTGGGAGTGCTTCAAGTTCTTTGGAACGTGGGGACGTACAAACTTAGCGTTGCTCACTGCTGTCCGCAGAGTCCGGCAAACAACTTCTGTACGTGCTGTGTTTTTGCCCGACTCTAGCTTTTTGAACTAACTATACCCTGTTTCGTCAAGTTCTGCCAGTCTGGATGAAGGATGCAGATTGCACTGATGCTTTGCTCGATTACGAGGCACCATCCCTGTGCAGCCGCCTTCCGAGTTGCCAAGAGGAAAGGCGGGCGCTCAATGCCTGGTTTCAAACATAAGGCCCCCTGTGCTTTTTGTGTGTGTGGCAAAAAGCAAGACTTGAGCAACGGGCAAGACTCTATGAAAGAAACAATTACAAACGCTTCGCACTGCCCGCCTTGGCCAGTATCAGCCGAATTCTTTTGGTTGGCTTTGAAGTGTGAGTTTACTCTAGGTTTCAGAGTGGGCAATTCTGATTGAGTTTTCGGGCCATTTGGGTTTTGAGAAAACTATTTTCCGTTAGAGAAACCTTTCTCAGCGAGGAAGCCAGAAGAACGATGCAAGCTAGAGAAAATGATGCCGGGGATGGGCCAAGCAGTCTGCCGGGCAGAGAGAGAGAGGGAGAGAGAGGGAGGGAGAGAGAGAGAGAGAGAGAAGAGAGAGAGAGAGACGTCAAACGCTTCACTTCCTGCATTTGTGTTGCATGTACTGCAGGCCTTGAGCTCACTACATCGCATGTGTAAAAGGTGGATTGCTGCAGACTACAATCGGTTGACTGTTTGTTTGAACACTACAGCACTTGCACTTGGAAGCAAAGTAACCACCGGTTTTAACGTGGTAGCGGAGCTGAGATCCTAAACATAGGGGAGCTCCAGTAAGCAGTAAGTACTACAACCGCAGCAACAGCAGTCATATGCCAAACTACTACGACATGTCAGGAGAAGCAGCATCAGCCTCAACACAACAAACTACAGGAGCAGAGAACGGGCCAACAGCAGACACAGTAGGAGCCACAACTACGGGAGCAGGAACAGAACAAGACAACGACGTTCAGAGACTACATAGATACAAACTGCCACCACCCTTCTTCACTGGTGACTACTCCCAGTATGAAGAATGGCTGTTCAAGCTACAAGCATACCTCGGCCTCATAGACCGAGACTTCGACCTGGTGCTACAACTAGCACAAGTGGCTACACGACAGATTGAGGACACAGACATAAGAGCCCACATACGCGACCCTACACAAGCAAAAAAAGGAGTAGACCTCTCACGAGATCTACATTACATCCTCATCAACATCTGTCAGGGAGCAGCAGCTACAGTAGTAAGGCAAAACCGCTTCAACGCAAACGGATGTGAAACACTACGACTACTACACAACAGGTTCAGCCTACCAGTAGGAACAAGAAGCGTTGGCTACCTTACCAAACTACTGGAACCTACATTCAACGAAGCGCAGTTTCAGGAACAATTTCTACAATGGGAATACGACATCAACCGCTACGAGAGAGACAATGGAACAGCACTACCGGATGGAATCAAAATAGCAATACTACTCAACAAAACCAAAGGAGCACTGCAGCAAGAGCACTCATCTTGGACTACTACAAGACGATTTCAGCCTTCACTAGATCTACTTCAGCAGTAGGAACAAACTACAATGGAGGAGCTGCACCAATGGATGTTGACGACATATGGAGGAAAGGAAGAAACTACAAAGGCAAAGGAAAAGGAAAAGGCAGCTACAAAGGAAGCAAGAGCAAAGGCAAGTACAGGAGTAAAGGGCGCTACAAAGGATTCGACAAAGGCAGCAAAGGAAACTACAACAAAGGAGGATACAACAAGAGCAAAGGAAAAGGCTACTCAGGATCCAAAGGATATGGATCAAGCAAAGGCTACAAAGGCCAAGGAAACTACAGCAAATCAAAAGGAAAAGGAAACAACAACTACACAACATGCCATCGATGTGGCAAGCCTGGCCACTGGGCACAAGACTGCAGAGTGCCAGTATGGCACATAGGAGAAGGAGAAGAACTACATCCACTAGAACAAGAACAAGCAGATCATGACAACAATGAAGAACTACCTCAGGATGTGAACGACACTTGGGACTGGTACTACGAAGGAGAAGAAGGACAACGCGAGGTGAACTACATGGAGGAGAACTGGAACGACTACGACTATGACAACAGCTGGGATTGGAATGATAACAGCTATGAGGACACAGCAAACTACATTGGAGGCATCAACGAGTCACACCTTACCATTGGACACATCAGACAAGCAAACTCACGACTACACAAGCACAAATCCAAATCACTACTTGGTAAGAGAACAACACACACAACATCATGGAACGACCACAGCAAGAGGTTTCAACAATTCCTACAAGAAGACACCACACAGCCACACTTTGACATAGCAGCAGCAAGACAACAACAAAGGAACAAGAAGATTGAGGACACTATCACACACTACATCATGTACTCCAACTTCAAGTCATACCACCACCTGTTGATCGACTCAGGAGCATCTACACATGTTTGCCCGAAGGACTACGCACCAGACCTACCGCTACGACCTTGTGGAGAATCAGTTCCACAACTCTACACGGTTACAAACAAGAAGATTCCTGTCTACGGCATCAGGTACGTTCCCTACAAGCAGGACAACTTCAGGACCATGATGCCCTACTACGTTTGTGATGTGAAGTATCCAATCCTCAGTGCATCAAGACTACTTGATAGAGGATATGGACTTGACTTCACTCCACGACACTGCACCATCACACATGGACAACAACAAGCGCACCTTATAAGACACTCAGGACTTTTCTACCTACGAGCAGAGAAGATCGACATCCCTACAGGATGCGACATCTACCCAATGACTACAGACAATGGAGAATCCATTGCTGTGATTCAACCTACGGAGAAAACAGTACAACAACACGAACAAATTGCACCACTCACCCACACAGACCAAGGACTACGACAGATCCTTGGTGGAAACACTGACTACTGGAAACTTGATGGTGACTACGCCATCAGAGTACACAAACGACCACGCAAAGCATTATTCACACCACGCAACAGCGGTTTCCCAACACCTGAAGGAGAACTAGATGATTGGCGACTAACCATTATCAACAGACCAGGGCAAGAGCAAGAACAACTACAAGAGAACCCAACACAACTTTCCAAGCAAGAACTACAAGAAAAAAGACTAGAAGGTGACAACTGGGCTGGAGAAACCAGATTCAGAAGAAAGATAACACCTACACGCAGAGCAACATCAAAGACCACACAAACAAGGCAGAGCTCACAACCACAACGGCTAATGGACACACCACCAACCAGATCAAAGATCCAACTACGAGCACCACAAAAGATTTGGAGACCTAAAGCAGCACCTTCTACAGATCTTGACACCACACAACCAAAGGAGACAACCCACAGACCACTCACAGCACAGGAGGACAACCAAGACTACTGGGAAAGACAAGGTGAATACTGGATAAGACACCACACAACACTTAGAACAACTCTATTCACTCCAACAGATGGACCAGGACATCCACCAATCAGCACACTTGAGCCTCACAGAACTACAATCACTCACAACAACTTTGGAGAAGTTTCGCAACGCAAAGATGACTGGACAGTCATGGGCAACGCAGCACTACCATTTCAATGGAAAGGAACAACAAGGTTCACCGTGAAGAAAGACTACGAGTACATCCAGGAGAACCACGATGAGGAACAACAACACGAGCATCATGAAGCACACAGAGCAAGAGGACTACGACAACCTCAGCAGCCCACTCCACAACAAATAGCAGAACACAACTTGACACACCTACCATACAGAAATTGGTGTCCAATTTGCGTTCAAGGCAAAGGACGCCAGGACAACTACAAGAAACAACAATCACGACAACCCATCATCCAAGTGGATTTTGCCTACATCAAATCACAACAAGATCCGAAGACCATACCAGTCTTAACAGCAGTTGATGTTACTACACAACTGTGCATGGCGGTATTCGTTCCGGACAAACCATCAATGATGGACTACATGATCAACAACCTACAAGCATTCATCTTTGAATGCGGAAGGACACAAGGCATACTACAAAGCGACAACGAAGACACACTCAATGCACTACTAAAACCAACAGCATCTAAAGTCGGCTCAATGACTGTACGACATTCACCATCCTACAGCAGCAACAGTCAAGGAAGCGTTGAGCGACTACATAGAAGTCGTCAAAGCTCAGGTTGAAAGCAACTACAGCATGACGATGTCCACAAAGCACTGTCTACTACCTTGGATAGTACGACATGCAGCATGGACGGTAAATCGCTACGTCATTCACTCTGACGGCTACACAAGCTTTGAACGCCGCCGGGGAAGAAACTACGAGCGAGCAATCTGCGAATTTGGCGAGACACTACTTTACCTTCCACCACAACACAAGAAACTTCCAAAAGCAGACCTACGGATGCAGAAATGCATCTGGCTCGGAAAAGTTTCCGAAACCGGAGAAAACTACGTCGCAACGGAATCAGGCGTACAAAAGATACGAATAGTGCGGAGACTACAACCGGACTTCAAATACGACCTCGCACAGTTGAACAAAGTTTCCGGCACACCATGAGCACCACGACGGAACACCTACAACCCATCGTTCGCAACACTGTTGGATACGCAACTACAACCGTCAGAGAAAAGAAGGTCCACGCAAGATTTCGGACAACAAACGAACGCTACGGACGACATCGTTGCGGAACCCGCAACAAAACAACAACGCACTACACCACCTCCACGACTTCCGTCAACATCGACGTCAAGTTCACGACCACTACCGGATAGTCCTATGGCTACTTCACCAACCGGACGACAACATCCACCAACCAACTAAAGCACAGAAGACCTCAAAAGACACTACAATCAGATCAACGAAGCAAGCAACCAAAGAACCACCACCACTACGACAGAAAATCAACGCAGTGACACTTCCCAACGGCAAATCCATCACCCCCTTCAGAAGACCAACCCATAATCTTCGACAACGAAGGTTACGACGAAACACAACTACTGGAAGGAATGAAACACGAGTCAAACCAAATGAAGCTACATGACGTCTACGACGAAGTAGATGCGTCTACCGTCGTTGACAACGTCATCAGAGAAGCGAGACCTACAAGATGGGTACACAGAAAGAAAGGACCAGGAGTACGAAGCCGAATCGTCGCAAAAGGC